GTCCTTCTCTTATAAACCGACGATCCATGTGTAGATAGAAAACTTTCAAGTGCTTCACCAACTTGCTGGAACTTCCAAATAACCGAATGCTTAGCTCTTGAACCTGTCGATTATGTAAAAAGGAACTTTTAGCGGACGGCAGAGGATTCATTTTGGAACAAAATTCAGATTAATTTAGTTGACGCTAGACAAAACGCTGCTTGTATTAATCTGTGAATTTGTTTTATATAATGTTTTACGAAGTAAGCGAACTGCGATAAATATACGAAAGTTTTGTTATAAGAAATATCTTTTATTATATTTGGAGATATGAAACTTTGTCCGATGAATGTTGGATGAAACTTGTGCTTTTTGCATCTGTGTGTATTCACACTATTCTGTTAGTGGTAGCAGTTGTCACATACCTAATTATGGAACGCAAATTGTACTAAGTTTTGTACAATTGTTTGAATAAAAATTCGTTAAGTATGTATAAAATGATACTTAAAAATCCAAAAATGTTTTTACTTTTTTTTTAAGAGGGGAACATCATCTAATGACTTCTCTCGCCTGGGTGAGGCAGAAGGGAGTGTCAGACTCTTAATGACTAAAAACCACCCCGTTCCTTCTCCTGCACTTTGAGCCGGAGCCCCGGTAACCCGTTAGGTTCTCCGCGACTCCGAATCGGCATCAGCCCTATTGGGCTCCATCCGTAGTGGTCTGATGGCTCTTTGAGGCGCGCGCGGAACGCACCGCCGCGTACGCTCGGGTCAAAAATTTTTTTACTTGGAGCACCTATTTCCAATAAATGTTCTGTCTTGGATATTATCTGTATTGTTGGAAATCTTTAAAGGTAAAAGAAAATTTAGTTTGTTACAAAACACGTGTCAAGTGCATAACCACTCTCTTTTGTTCGAGATTCGTCAGACCGTCTATACGTTTGTCCTGGCAACCAATATTTCTTCGGTAGTTTGTAAATTTGTGGTTCAATATCTTTGTCACAATTATCTAGCAATCTAAGAGACTATTTCGAGGAACCAACTATATACCTCTATAAATGAATGTATAATTTCTTCACAAACTATTTGTTATCTCAATGAAATAACATGAACCGCTAAATGGAAATCGTTTCGGAATTTAACAAAAATACTCGAAAATGTTCTCTGCTTTTAGCAAATTACTTATATTATAATTATGTTACATGGAAATACAAGAAATACAATACGTACACATAGAGTATACACTTCATATTAAAAACATTATATTATCCCACTTGCCATACAAAATTTTGGTTAAGTATTTTGCAAGTAATGCCTACCTACTCAGATATTAATACAAATTAGATATTAATCATAAGAGTTAACGTCCTACAGTACTAATAGGTACAATTATATTTCTGACTTGCTTATTATTTAAGCAAATATGTAATAAGTACGTTTCGAAAAGCATCACCGTTAAAGTGTAAGCCTAGTGTTGCACAAGGACAAAGTGCACACTATTGTACCTCATGCAGTCTGTACTCGGCTTTAAAAGGTAAGAAATACTTTTCAACTCACAACTTTCGAGTCTTAGCAAGTTCCTGTTAATGGAGTGCGCTTACATGGAACTCTTGCAACTTGCGACAATATTCTGTTGAATGAAGATCTTAGTGTAAGCCTCGAATTAGCGTAAAAAGACTGACTGAAACTGCTACTAGTATGGTAAGTTTAACTGCACTTTTTGTACAAACAAAAGTGTAGTCAAAAGTAATATATATTTGATGATGACAGCCTATATAACAATTTACTACGTGTTTTAATTCAATATTTTACAATTATGTAAGTTAAAGTTCAAATAGATAATTCTACTTAGCACCGTGGAGTCTTTTGGTCTTAAGAATATTTAAGGTCATGGCACAGAGTAAATATTAAAATGAAAAAACTGCGTTTAAAAAACCGACTTCAAAAAATCAAAAACTAATAACAAACAAAAAGTCAAAACTAAAAAGCAAAAAATAACTATTATTAGTACTGATAGGTTACCCACCCACTGATAGGTAAGAAGTCGGTGCCATAAGTTCCATACAAAAGTATTCATTAAAACCCTATTAGGTACCTAATTTACAATTTTGTGGACATTAAGTTATATCATTATGATATGAGCTTACTTAAACAAAAAAAAAATAATAATCAGCCGAACATAGTACCTCCTCCTTTTTTTGAAGTCGGTAAAAATAACGTAATTGATTAGTTACATAACAAAAAAATGAAATTCTTGTTTCACAACAAAATTTTTATAAATATTTACAGGTCCACTAGAAATCTGTTAGAGATTTTACTCAGCTAACTGTCCCGCATCCTAGTCGCGTATAAACAACGTTTGTGTCCTTGCGAACACTTTGATTGGTTTCCGCTATCTGCAGTTAACCAATTAAACCTCAGAGACCCAATAAACCAATAAAGAAAACTTTCATGCACTTGCACAACATTGTAGGATTGTAGGTAGTTATTGATAGCTCGTATGGTATGAACTCTTGTCGGCTTTTTTAAAGAAATTCGAGTTTATTTGTACGTTGCAGATTCGATCTTTTATTGGTTTGTACCGAAAGGTTTGTGACGCTACTGATTTAATTTAAAAATGAGTATTAGAAAGCTTTATAATCGTAATTTTATATTCACACATTTGTCTATATGATTCTTATATACTTCTTTAGATTCCATCACAATCATACAACTGGTTTAATGATCAAACAATTTTCAAATAAGACACAATTTTTCATTCTTAGAAAATGTGTAGTTCCTGTGTAATATGCTGAAATGTCTACCTGCTAATTTCTGCTGCTGTGAATGTGATAAATAAGCTTCTAAATGCTGGGAGGTATAATGGTAGTCTATGTATATAAAAGAAAGTCGTGTTAGTTACACCATTTATAACTCAAGAACGGCAGTATAGATTTGGCTGAAAATTAGTAGGGAGGTAGCTTAGAGCCAAGAAACCGACATAGGATACTTTTTAACCAATTTTTTTTACTTTTTACTGAAAATCACGAACGGGGACGGGAAAAAATGGGATTACGCGTACGAAGTCGCGGGCCGAAGCTAGTGTAATATAAAATTGGGTGTAAAATTAGCCACAACTGGCCTCGTCGTCACAAGCTGACAGTGTCAATATGTGGTCGCGTGTCGTCACCACTGAATTTTTACGATTGTTTCACCCGAAACGGTAGTTTTGTGGTAACAAATGTACCTACAGTCTGTCAACACTGAGTTTATGGTGTAAGGAGAAGAGAAACGCTTTATAAGTAAACGATGTTTTAACTGTTCCTTTGTTTGATTAGTTACCATAACATCACGCCTTTAATCCCCGAAGGGGTGGGCAGAGGTGCTCATTATAACACTGTACAATGTAACACCCACTTTTCACAATTTATGTTATGAGTCCCATATAATAGGGGGTGAGCCTATTGCCATATACCGGGCACAATTCCAGACTCCTTGCTACTACTGAGAATTTTTAAAAATCCTAGTAATTCTTTGCCCGACCCGGGAATCGAACCCGAGACACCTTGCTCGGCAGTAGCACTTGCGGCCACTCGGCCAACGAGGCAGTCTTGATTAATTATTGTGAAGAAAAATAAGTAAGTAACACTGAGATTTTACTGTCCAGCGATCTTCCTATGCCCAGACGCAAAATTCTTACATGTACCTTAAAAACATTACTACGATATAGGTTAAACAAAAAACAGAAAAATAAACTCCCTTTCACGTTTATAAAATTCGCATGTATCGTCTACAATAGCAATAAACTCGTCGCATAATATAGCAAGTATAAAAAACTCATCTATGTCTGCCTCTTCCGAAAAAAAAACTGAACATTATTATTCCAAATTGCCTTTTAAGAGGCACTTATTCAAATTACCTAATCAACCCACGAGTTTTTAATTAGCGCACGAAAGATGTGCAGTTTACCGTATAATAAGATGAATTAGGAACTGTCAACAGCATCTGAACAAGATGGCCACTACTAGACAAAAACAGGGAGGCTTTGTAAGCACCACTTCAACTGCTCTCGCGATTTCAACATCCGGGTCTCTGGGACTCCGGGAAACTGTTCGCCAGAATTTTGCACCTTTTTGGGCAAACAAACCCATGTTGATACTTCCCCTGTAAAATTTTATTATACACCGAGAGTGAGCCATCCTGCCATATGTGCCAATTAAAGTAATTTATGATCAAACGAACGCGCCGCGCCCCCGGGGTCTCGATTTCAATGATTTCTGAATCCAACAAAATGTTATGTAAATTGATTTTTCATTTGATATTTTCGGTTGCATGGCTTGTGCAATTCTTTTAGTGTATATAATCTGGTAAAATGCAAAAAATACTTTTTAGCCTCTGCTTATCTTCTCAGAGACTAAAACATGTGAAGGTTTTCTAGTCAGCAGAAAGCCAGCGTAGAAACTTAATATCAAAGATGTCATAATTGTACCATTTAAATTTAACTTATTCAGAACTGTCCAAGTAATTTTGGCCCACCAAAACAATAGCTGAAAATTGGCGATTTAATTAAGTACCTAGGTATTCGTGGGGCATAGCTGGAAAGATAGACATTGAACAAAAGGAAGTAACGCCTGTACTGCACGCGTTGACCGCACGAACAGCCATTAGTTTACACCGGCCGCACCGCAGTGGAGGCGGCAAAATTAACGGGTTTGCTACGTAATACCCACTGATTATTGTTCAATTTCTTTGTAACTCTATGTTGTTAGGTCTAGTTATTGTTGTAATGCTACCAATATCAAACTATTATTACAAACTATTAAAACATGAAATAACTTATTAAAACTACACAATATGTTTTAAAAGGAACCCCTGTAAAACAGTGAATTGGCCATAATAATGGAATAATTAAAATTTAAATAAATCGAACACAAACATTAGTACATTAAAACAATAATAAAGTACCTACATCCTAAGTCCTTTTACATAGTCAGTTCCTTTTTGGTTAACTGTAGAACACCAGCACGCCATTAAAAGCCGCACCGTTGGAATGAAAATTATTATTATTATAAATTTATTGCAAGCCAGGATTTTAGATGACAGTATAATGCATCTATGATGATATATGATGATGTCAGAACGCCTGTTGAATATGTTCACTAGTGCGAAAACAATTTTCGACAAATATTTCGATTTAAAACCCTGATATTTGAAATGATTTCGCGACGTGCGGTTGACTTGTGTGGATTCATGTGCGAAAGATTGTGTCTGTATTATTTCGTGCTCGAGTACTCGCTGTGACAATTTGGAGAAGAGATTGATGTGAAATCTGAACGAAATAGCTTTAAAATTGTCACGTATTAAAACCTACGAGAGGAGATAAGAACAAATCTAAAAAACAATGAAAATCTGTTAAAATTTTCTTAAAGACATCATTTTATTGTTTTGCAATCAAAATACAAATTACAAAAATATATTCAACAATTTACAAAACGTATTCCGCTTTTAAAAACCACCACGGACGTGACAATAGGACATAAAATGCCATAGAACCATGCTAAGAACACTTTCGCTATAGAACTTAAGGGGGCCGTTTAACAGCGCGGATAGTCAACATCTTGAAGAGACAATAAGCGAGGGCTCTTTGTTCAAGTGCTTTTCTTAGCGTTTCGAACTTTGACCGGTCTGATACTCGAAATTGCGATATCCGAGCCTCATATGACCTATACAGCTGTGCACATCTAGGTCAAAAACATAGCTCACTCAAATGGAAAATTTTGCTTAACGCGAATATATTATAGCGTCGAAAGTCTAAACCGGCAGCAATCCAATATATCAAGCTGGAGATCGCATAAAAATGTAGCACACTCAAAGATTTTTATTGTGTAATTTGTAACAGTATCAAATTATAGTGCGATTTTGTACGGGAAGATTTATTGTGGTATCGAATAATTCAGTAGATTGTATAATTATTTTAAATATGTTTTCTATTGAAACTTTTTGTTATAAATATTCCTGAGCTGATTTATCGCATTGCTATTACAACAACTCATTGATATTTATTGATATTACTTATCAACGGCATCATATAAAAATAACAAATAGATCATATTAGAAAGATCTGAAATCAAATTGGCCGCGGGATTATCTGCCGACAAGCCTAATAGATTTGTATTATCTAAGGTCAGGTCCCGATTCTCTCATTTCTTACATACCGCGCGTTGATAGAAATCGTACTGAGGAACCTAGGAACGTGTTTCGTACGCTTAGTAGCGGCCGCGATTCTTACAGAGTCGTATTACTATTGATATAAGGGGTCACATTCCTATCGCAATTTGGGTTATTATTTAGTAAATTAGTTGGCATGATAGATATAATATCAGGATTATCATCAATCGTTTTTGCGATTTTCGTCAATCTTTATTGTTATGTACGGTTTTGTAAAAACTGGTTTGCACAAAAACCTTATAGCATGAATTTATACTTAAATTCCTTAAGTTCGAAATAATTGAACGAAACATTGGCATTACATGAAAATTTTCGTGAATTAAATTGAAATAAACCGCTTTTCCACTAGCTGGTAAAATTGTTAAACGCTGCAGTACATTTTATCTCTCACTGAAATGTTGTATCATTTTATTTTCATCGTGTAAGTTTGTTGCGTAAACTTAACACTCGGTTTTCATAATAAAATTCAACGGAAAATTTAATATTTTATTGGTCGAAACTTTTGATCCTTTAAACATTATAAAATCGAACTTTAAATTTTGAGTCTTCAAATATAAAGTCGACTATTGCTTGTCGGTAAAAGTATTATAGGTACATTGATTTTGCAAAATTTTACGAAATTTATTTCGCATTTAAAATATTTGTAATTAGATTTTTCACGGTTGATGGCGTCGTTGATATTTATTTTGGATAAAATATTTTTTTATTTGATAAAATATTGGCAACAATTTTTCATATCCATGTTATAAAAAGTTATTAAATTAACCTCGTGTACGGATTACAGGTCAACAGCGTGCGATGGGCGCGCAGTCGCTAGGGTTGGTACAAGATACATAATCAAACCTTTATATGTAAAGCTAATTTATTTTGCCAAGTTTTCTTCTGGTAATGTAGATAAAAATAAATAACTTAGTGTAATTTTTTAAGGAAATAAATTGTGTCTGTTCTTTACAAATTATAACGTCCGATTTTAATTACGCTATCAACGTCTATCCCTTTCCTTTGTAGGTAACTAATTAAGTGTATCAGAATTTGAACAGTAAAATATTCCGAAACGTTACTAAAGATAGCTTAACGACGGAGAGCATAAAGGGGATTTGTGATCGAAACAAGAGAGTGCGGTAATTGTTCGTACAATGCGGCGGCAGATCCTAACCGTTTCCAGTTCAATAGTCAGCTTGGCAACGAAACCAACAGCTCAGGGGAGCACTTGCACGTCGTCTACACCACAACCCTTAATGGATATCCATGCATTCATATCCATCCATTAATCCCAATACAAAATCAACAACCGATACCCAAGAGATTCTTTAATTCAATTATAGAGTAAGTGATCACATTTTCATTACATTTTTTAGGCCAATGAACTTTGCACCTAAATAACGTTTACCTAGATCTTGATTCAGCTCACCCCACCCTCACCCTCTAGCTATTATCGAGATATGCGTATGTACTGTTTACATGCCAACCAATTAACGGCACTCGTAACGCAACTAAACGCCTAATAGCCCATACATTACACACACACGTAAACATACATGCAATAATTAAGAATGGGACAACGTGGTCATCATAATTATGCCGTACCATGCTTTGTCTAACGATGAGCTGGATCACAAAGGAATTAAGACTTTCCCCATTGTACATTATAAATGTTCCCATAGAACTGTTCCAAAAAGCATAAATCTTTCATCGAAAAATAAATTTTAAGTTCTTGAATAAGCATAATTTTACTTTGCCGTGGTTTCCGTAAGTAAGATGAGAATGTAAATTGTACGGGTCCCCATTTAAAATGTACGTTTCAAGGACGCGGTAAGCTCAATTTTACGGCTTAGTTACATTATTGATTTTGGTCGAACAAAAGTTTGTTCGTAGCTTGAATGAAGGAGCGTAATTCCATACAGTCACATAGGCGATCAACTTAAATGACGGCTTTTTCAGGAATTGCCGCCTGTAATGACCGTCATCAAGTGGTTAAAATGCAAGTTCAACAGTAGTATGGTGATGTCAGAGGCTGTTGGAAATTATAATAAATTCAGCAGCTCGTTAGCCAGCTCTCAGAATTCGTTATACAATTCCAACTCAAAGCAAAAAAGCTAGTTACCTAGACCGAATTGGAAAGTATTCTCAAAGACGTTGGGAACATCTGTTTGAAGATCGGAACTTGTACGGTTGCAGGCACAAATTAAAAGAATCAGATCCACTTCGTGCTGATACGCTTTTTGCAAAACCATCTTTGCTTGATTTGACACAGTTTGTATCGAATGTTGCCGAGGTGAAATGGTTTTTAATTTAGTGGGACGTCGTCAAGTGACCAGTGATGAAATAACTTGGAAATTTACTTGTCAGCATACAATTATGTTTTATTTTGAATAATTGCAGACAAAGTTTTATTTTGAGAAGCTATTTAAGATTTTACTGCATCTCTTTGATATCCAAAGAATTAATTACTAGAAAGTTTTGAGAAGTAGTTTCCGCTCGTTTCAAAGACTGCAAGAGTTCTGCTACAGACTGGCTTGTGGGTGCTAGACGACGTAGGAAGGTTTTTCAAAAGAAATATATAATTATAATTCTATTAGGAGTTTTTCTAAAGAAACGCTCCGCCTATTAATTTCCAGGGTGGCCTGGAAATTAATGAGAAAATAGTTATGCTGAATTAGAACTTAATATAAATGAAAATTCAGTTTATAAAGAAGCAATTATTGAAATGATTTCTCCGCTTAAATTGTACAAATGTTAGTTTACGAGCGGCGTGGCGCGTTATAGCATTTACCAGCAGTCGACATGCTTAAGGCTTGTTGGAAATAAGCTATGCGTGGAAATGGTTTTTATGATTGAAAAATATGGAAAAAACCCCAACCATTGAAAGTCACACAGTTTGTTTATGTGTATTGGTATGTAATAAGTAATTAACATTCAGTTGGGTACGGTAGTGGAAAAGGTTGTTGGAATTTTTAAAATTCTGCAGTAAACATAATAAGAGAAGTTGAGTAATTTCCAAGCGTCATCGTAGCTCTTTGCTCATTTGCCGTGTTAAAAAACCGCCGCCGTACAGGTAGTGCGAGGTGCAATGTACATCTTAATTTAAAATAATTGTAAATTATGATGGTTTTGTTACAGGTTTCAAATTTCATTGTTCTTGTTACTCTTGTTTTTAATGTTGTTGTATTAGCAAGAAGATACTATCACAATAATTATAGAAAAAGTTAGTCTGTGTAATAAGACTTTGCGGCTAGAAATATTATATCATTGATTTTGAATCCAATACGACGGCGGTCATAACCGAGCGTAGTTCTTTCTTTTGTAGACTTTGCATCATTGTGACAGAAAATGCATTATCCAGCTACGCCATTGGATACGGAGTATCAGGAATAATGTTCAGTCGTTTATCAAAGTCACATTTGTTTTCGTCGCGTAAAATACAATTTAAGAGTTAAGGATCATCATCTACAGATGTCGGAAGATTATTTTTCGCGTTGTGACCTTCTTGGATGATTGTTTGAGGGCTTAAGGGCCAAACTTTGTTTTACAGGGGTACATTGAACGGCAATCGTCAGCGCGCTCAACGAAATGCCACAACCGTCACAAGTTAGCAACAGAAACGTTTTTAAATTGATTTATGCGAGTAATATTTTACATTACAATTTCAGAGTTGAGAAATTTTGTAAAATAGGATCTAAAAGAAGCGTGAATGAGAGCAGCAAATTTATTGTTACTGCGAGCTGGGCACCGCGCGCCGGGGAGCTGCGCCGGCTCCAGCTACATCCAGCTGGTAACGAATATGCCACGTCATCCGCAGCTTTCGAGTGCACCCTTCCGTTAAATAGACATTGGCTTGTGAGAATAGCTATCACATTTATAA